TCTAATCTCCCCTCTAAGTCTTGGTAATTTCGTGCTCTTCGCGCATGCATGCACGCTATAAATTCCGGCTGCGCGATTAGTTAGCTCTCTTAACCCGTTGTTGGAAGCTCGGGGTTGAGCGATCAGGAAGGGTCGGCACACGAGCGAAGTACGAGGTGAGTAGAGTAGAGGTCGGGCGACCCGACGGGCTGGTGCTGAACGCGCGGGATTGACGTGGGCCACGACGGACTGTGGGCACGGGCGAATCTGACGGGTGCGGGAGGACTAAGCGGGGTGACGACTTCGTGGGTTGGTGCGTGACGACGGACTGTCCGCATCGGAGAAGAGAGAGAAGAGGAAGAGAGAGTTGATGTCGATGGACGCAGATTTGTTGTTTCTTTGTCTCTTCCCCCTCTCTATCTGTGTATATAAATTTTGATTGCGGCTCCGGGCGGTTTGCCCGTTTTTGTTTTCCCTTCGTTTTTTTTTTGGAATCTGAACTTGGGTTTTTGCTCACACTTGTCCTTGCGATGACCGTCTCGATTGCATTATGTGTATGATTGCTGGATGTATGGATTTATGGATGCTATGTTTGCTTGTCCGTCTTCTTACTGAGAATCCTTGTCTTTGCTTTCGCTTGTGTCAAATTTCTGCCTGCACCTGATGCAGTTGTAAAAGGGGATAAGAATTTGGCCCCGATAGCAATTTTGCCCTCGTTTTTGCTTGTCTCATGAATGGGATGTGGTGTGATTGCATCTTGCATAACCAAACTTACGGAGCAATTAGACGATCCGACGCTGGGGCCCGCAAACACCACGCGAGGACATGAGTAAATGCGATCCTAATCGCGCGTTTACACGCATCCCCGTGCGCTGATTCGCCCACCCAGAAAAGATTTGCGGCGGAACCGTCATCCCGTGCGAGCACGCTGAGGCGCAACTAAGTCCACCTGTCCTGCACGTGCTCGCGCGCGGTGACGGTAATCCGACCCGAGTTATCCCATACACGGTGACACCATGACGCGATCTTGGAGCTCAAACTCATCCTACGACCCGGATTATTTCACCCCCTGGATAAACGAACTCTTACGATAGCGATATCCGTGTCACACGGAGAATCGACTGTGTCCGCGGGAATTCCACTCTGCCACCTCTAGCGACCCCCGGTGCTCTGATTTCCCTTCCCCCGACCATACCTACTAGTTCATCCACCCGGGATTCGTCCTCATCACCACCAGTTTCCCTCCTTTTCGCCTTCTTCTCCCGAATCATCAACTTAGCGTCGTTCCGTGGCCGGCCATAGCCCCCTATGGCCCAGCACGCCCTGCGGAAATTGCCGACGTAGCGGCGAACGGAGAACCCCGGAATTCCGAAGGCCCAACCCAAACACGCAGCGGCCTGCGCCACGTGGCGGCCCCCGACGGCCCAACTTTTTGGGACCGCCTCCTCCGCGGAGGGACTTCCCCGTAAACCGTCGCCCACAGTACCCCGGCCCCATCGGGCCTTGAGACTTCCTTTTTCGCCTAATTGCATTCACACCCCTGAGACTTCCCCACTTTCCCCAAAAATCCTTGGCACACCCCTTTTCGCACTTCCAGGCCCCCATCCCACTCCGATCAAAAAGTCGCGTTGGGCGTGAGGTTGGTATCGGAGCCCGACACGTGGCTAGGTCTTAGGATCAATAGCATAATAATTAGGCGATCTGGCTAACCGAGGGCGGCCTCGCCCTTGGAACGAGCATAGACGCGACCCTATCGTCACTCGAAGTAGATCAGCCAATAGACGAGCAGCCAATATGGCCGCCAATGTGCCAAACCCGCAGCAGAATGCCAATCAACCGAATCCTAATCAACCCGCCCCACGTGCACGGGCTCCCATGACGCCACCTGATCTATATTTATTTGACCCTGCGCACCACATTGCAGGAGCATGGTTGCCCACGCTCCGAGCACAGCAGTATGACGATAACGAAGCTCAGGTAAACATCCCCGCTCGATTGGGAGGTGACGCTCATCACTGGTTTAGTACCTATATGTGGGTAGATCTTCAGACCTTCGAACGAGACTTTCGGAACCGATTTGATTACGTTCACCCAGAACAAGCGCTTTACATGATCAAGGATCGAGTGCAAAAACCTCTCGAGTCCGTTGCGGAGTATCGAAACCGGTTCTATCGAATGTTTGTAAGGACTGAGCGAGGGGAGCAAGTAAGGAGAGATCTGTCCATAGACGGACTCCGCAGCCGAACAATAAGGGCGAAGCTGCGAAAGCAGTTTTCCCCCATCAATCATACATTACAGCAAATCATGGACGCAGCAGATGACATGGAACGGAAGTTCACGACGAACTTCCTGGAAGGAGAGGACTATCTTAGGGAAGGAGATTCCTCCGAAGTCGCAAGGGCAAAAGCCAAATTGGCTGCGCTGCAAAACAAATTCGAAAACATGGGGTTTGTGTCGGGTCCTGTCACTTACATAGAACAGATAGCCCCTAAACGACCAGCTCCAAGTGAGATCTTAAGCGTCCCCGTCTCTGTAATGCCAACGCCTGTAAGAACGGCACCCTCTCCCCCAGTCGAGGCTCCCGTACGATCGAATGAATCCATTGCCATACTCGAGCTAACCAAAACCTTGGTTAGTCTAATTCAGGAAAGCAAAAAGGAACAGCGAGAGCAAAATGCTCGGTTGGAGGCCATGATGAGGAACATGCGGCCCATTGCGGTGCGTGCCCCTTCGATTCAGCAAGGGTTAGCCTCGTCCCCCGCTCTTGGAGGAATCCCAAACGATCTGAACGTATATTGTGCATGTCATCAACCTGGACATCTAGCCCGTGATTGCACTCACAGACCTCCGCAACAACGTGTCGGGGTCGCGCCGATGGCCGCGGCGCCCATCGCTAACGGACCAGGACGAGTCAGAGCTCTGATGGAAGAAATAGAGGGTGGGGGAAGTGCCCTAGCCACCACGGAAGAGGCCATCGAGCTGATCCCGTTAGATCAGTACGTATCACCTGGTTATCCCGGGCTTGGAATGATTGGAACGATCAGACCAGCGCCAGAACAGAAAGAGGTGGCGGAGTGGCGACCTTCTCTAGGAGAAATGGAATCACGAGGACCCACTTTCGTCACGGGAGAAATCGATGTATTAAACATCGTCCGAGCCTTGGACCATCGGATCCCGCTTCCGATCGGTCATTTACTTTCGATCTCTGAACAAGCCAACGAGCGGATGTTGCAGCACTACAAAGCGAACCGAAAACGATTCGCTCTGGCTCGAGTACCGAACGCAAAAACTAAAAGCCCCACACTCAAAGAAAATCTGACAGGCACGTCGGATCCAATACGGGTAGGATTAGTACAAAAAGACAATCATTTCCTACGGATTAAATCCATCCCATGGAAATCTGCGGAATGCGATATTGAAATATGGGGAATTCCGTACAATGCAATCATCGACTCGGGAGCCTCTGTTTTGGCTATTTCGTTAAGAGTAGTTGAGAGAGTGGGAAGGAAAAACGATTTGATCATGCTCACTGAGAAAGATCAGCTCGTTTCGGCAGATGAAGAAAAGATCAAGACCGTGGGAAGAATGACCAATGTCGCTTTCCGATTAGGAAAAGTGCACGCGCTTGGGGATGTCGTAGTACTAGATGTTAATACGTACGAGTCCGAACGATGTTCTTTTTGGACTTCCTGCTCTTATAGCGTTACGAGCAAACCTGGATTTCGAACGACAATCTATCGTCCTCCGAAATACAGGAGGAAAGCCCTATGCGGTGCCTATGAAACTAACCCTTCGTACCACCATCAATGCAATCCCACGGGTTTCGTCGATGATGGCAGGGACTCTCCGCATGATCTCTTGGGATGAATCCGCAAACAAAAATCATCGACGAATGATGCGGACAGCAGTGATGAGGACGACCCGGAGATCTCGAAGCTAGCACGACAACGTGTTTACTACCCGCCACCCAGAACGATAGCAAGAACGATGCATCTGACCAGTAGAAATGCTCAGAGGACCGAGGCAATGATCTTGGGTGAACCCCTCGTGCAGATTTCGAGGATGGTCTATTCTTTGGAACCCCCTTGAACCCTGTACGAAGGGATTACCCAACTTCTCTCCCGATACAGCGACAAAAAGCATTACTGCGATATTACGGAACTACCAAGATCCCTGCTGACATCTCCTAAAGAAGTGCGATTGCTACGCTTGGGGGTGGAAGCAAGTTCTCTGGAACCCCCTAAACGTCTCGAAGTAGAAACAGACGAACTAGGGATAAAGATCGCAACTAAGAGCATGCCATGGCAGGATATTTGTGACGGGATTACCCCGGAAGGGCACGTGGCAATCCAGGAAGAAGATGCCCAGATGATGGCCACAGTGTTCTCCTGGCGATCGGACCATTCGTGCATTTCTGCACCCCCGCCCGACGTGGCGAAACCTACACGCACAAAACAGATAGATGTACGGATCTGGGATCAACTCTTCGAGTTACACGTGCCACAGTACGTACCCGATGCAATCCATCGGTTGATTGCGGACATTTTGACGGAATATCGGGGAGCGATTAGCGTGACAGACACGGACATTGGCCTGTCGTTAGTTATTCAACACGAGATACAGACGGGAAACCACTCCCCGATCCATAGTAAGCCATACCGATACTCCCTGATAGAACGCAAAAAGGCTCTCGAACGAATTCGAGAATTCGAAGCCTGCGGATGGATCGAACCCGCCACCTGTCCATGGTCATTTCCCGTCGTACTAGTGCCAAAGAAAAACGGACCGCTTCGCATTTGCATTGATTATCGCAAGCCGAATGAGATCACGATCAAAGATGTGTACCCCCGCCTTTGGATTGATGATTTGCAAGATGCGATTGGATGTGCTAATTATTTTAGCAAGTTTGATATTCGGCATGGTTTCCATCACATTCTGGTGAGAGAGGAAGATCGACCGAAGACAGCCTTTGTGTTGTTTGAAGGCACGTGGTAGTGGGTTCGGTGTCCGATGGGGATTTGCAATGCGCCTGCCACGTTTCAGCGAGCGATGAACATGACGTTCCAGAATTTCGTCAACAAGACACGACTGACACAAGGGATGATTAACTTCTGCGTGATCGTGTACATGGACGATATCCTGGTCTATTCGCAAACCTATCACGGACACACGCAACATATCGAATGGACATTGGGCGCGTTGAGAGACGCCGGGTTCAAGATTGCGCTCGAGAAGAGCGAATTTTTCCTCTCGAAAATTTCGTTCTTGGGCTACGTCCTGACTCGTGGAGGACTACGACCGGACTCAAGAAAGGTTGCAGCAGTGAAGGAAGCCCCGGTTCCCACGTCACTGACGCAGGTTCGAGCCTTCTTGGGGTTAGCATCGTACTACCGGCGCTTCATCAAGGGCTTTGCCGCGATTGCACGGCCATTAACGAACCTGCTAAGGAAGGACCAGCCTCTCAGCTGGGACGCGGAGTGCCAACAGGCTTTCCCAACCCTCAAGGACGCTATGGCGACGGCCCCTATTTTGACTCGGTCGGACTCCTCGAAACAGTTCATTATCATCACGGACTGGCAACCGGAAGCTATCTCTGCTATTTTAGCACAAAAGGGGAACAATGGTCGCGAACACGTCATCGAATATGCGTCACGCACGGTACCGGACGAGCGAAGGAATGACTCAGCACCTCAGGCGAGTGCTATGCAGTAGTCTGGGGAATCCCGCACTTCCATCCGTATCTCTACGAACAGAAGTTTCGCCTCGTAACAGATCACGAACCCCTGCTGGCGCTAAAGAAACTCACCAATTACACGGGCATGATTGGCCGTTGGGCGGTACGACTACAGGAATATGACTTCGATATCGTCCATCGAAAGACAGAGCGACACGGCAACGCGGACGGACTGACACGTCTGCATCGACCGGCTAAAGTACCAAAGGGCGAGGAAATTACACCGTGGAAGGAGTCGGAAGCTACGTGGTTATGCCCCTTGTGTCGGACCGACAAGATTCCGACCGAGGCTCGCTTTTTGGATGAGAAGTCAGAAGGGTTGGAGAAGACCCGAAGGTTTGGAAGGGTCGAAGTATGGACTGATATTGCCTTGATTGCCACCCTAGTTGGCAACCCCCTCCAAGGTTTTACCAAGGAAGATCAGAGGAGGGCCAACGAGAGGGCTCGAGATTACAGATGGATAGAGGGTAGATTAGAAAAACGGAAAACAGACGGCAATGGGATTTGGATGGTTGTGCCGCATCCGTTCATGAGGTATGACTGGGTTAAGACAGCGCACGAAAAAACTGCGGCTCATTTCGCCGTACGAATCACGAAGTCTGCTATTGACAAGAATGAGTGGTACTGGTCCAGTATCCGAGACGATGTGAAAAACACCGTCACCAACTGTCAGGTCTGTGCCGCTGATAAAGCGCCGATTCAGCCACCGAGATCGATAGTACCCACAATAGTTGAACGACCATTTCAAAGAGTGAGCATGGATACTACCGATATAGTGGTGCCCCTTGGCCCTAATAGTTGCGAATATTCAGTTCTATTGGTATTTGTCGACCATTTCTCGAAATGGATCGAGGCGTACCCTTATCGCACGCGGCAAGCCACGGAAATCGCGCGATACGTCAACCGTTTCCTCGAGATGCACCAGGATACGGAAGAGACCCTGACCGACAATGGGGCTTAATTCAGGGGAGAAGTGCTAAGGAATATGGTCCTACATGGCGTTGCCATACGGAATACTGCACCCCACATGTCGCAATCCAATGGATTGGTGGAAAACGCCATCCGGGTGATAAAGACAGCATTGCGACGACACATCGCGGCACGGGATACGAGGCCCTGGCCCGACATCGTCGACCACATCTTGGCGGTCCATCGCGGAACGCCCCACGAATCGACAGGGCTAAGCCCCTTCCAATTAAGGACCAATAGCGTTGCTTGCGTTTCGATACCCAGCCTCCCAGATGAGTTTACATTGAACCGACGGCCCACCAGGGCCACGGCTCGGGACAAGGCGGAACCGCACCTAGAGTTAATGGAACGGCCACTGCCCAAGCTAGCCCGAAAATGGCAGAAAATGACCAAACTAGCCCAAGGACGCCAGGTCCGAAGCTACGAGGCCCGAAATGGGAACGCGGGTCCACGGACCCAGAAATTCTATTACTATCGTCTATTTATGAAAAACATAAATAGATGATATATAAATAGATGATATATAAAAACATGACATAAATATAAATGATATAAATAGTATGTAATATAAATAAATGGAAATAAATAGATTTTATTATACTGTATTTAGATATTTTACTCAATCAAAAAACAATTTTATATTTATCTATTCTACAATAATAGATTCTATAATAGACTAAGATCTATAATAGAAAAATAATTCGAGCCGACGAACGCGAGGGCCGAAGACGCGTCTTGAAGGCTGCTCTCCGATCGCCGCCGAATCTTCGCAGTGATCCTTTTTGTCCGCAACCGCCCGAAATGGGAACGCTGGTCCACAGACCTAGTAGAAATTGGGGGACATGGTGCAGGTAAGGAAATGTACTCGCCAGGGTAAGCTAGCGCCACGATTCTTCGGGCGGTATCGCGTAATCGAGCTCGGCCCTAACGGCGTGGACACTGTGCGTCTCGCCCCCGAGGTCTCTGGCAGTCGATCGGCCCGTCCGATCACACGCCACGTGTCCTATCTTCGCCTCCTCCCCTCTACTCCATCTCCCTCTTCATCGGCCTCCCCCTAAGAGGCAGCCGACAACAGCGATCTTATCTCTCTGGCATCTCCCTCTTTCTCTTGCCCCTTCTCTGATACCCCGTCACCTCCGCCATCGCCATGAGCTTCGCCACCGAGCGGGCTTTCGGTGATCAGTTGCGGATGCCACGGGGAGAGATCTCAGCCATCCGCCAAGTGCATCATTCGCGGATTAGTCCCGACTTCTTGCACCTTGCGCAGTTCTTCTGCACCTCGGGTGTGTACGGCGCGGCAGAGTTCCGGTTCACGAGCAATCCCCAGGTGGTGGTGCTGGCCGAGGCAACGGCGTTCCAGCGGCGAGCAGCCCCAGGTATTAGCCACGTGTCTACCGTGGTAGTCTTTAGCGGCGACATCATCGCCTTCGATCCAGCGTGGCAAGCCGCCATCAAGAGCACCTTGTACTAGTGGGGTCGTGATCTGGCCACTGATTGGGATCGACGGTTCACGAGGCACAGTGACGAGTGCTATCATGTCGACGGCATCGAGGTCAACACGCTGTGTACAACGCTTCGCGAGCCACCTGTCATCCTCCCTGAGCATGCCCCCTTCCAGCCGCGCAGATGAGCCCCGCGCCGATCTCGACGTTTTCCCCTCCCTCGCTCTTCCCCATCTTCTGGCAGTCCTCTCACTACCCCCGTCTCTCTTTCTGCCTGGAGTCGCTGGCAGTACCCATTGTTGATCCGGATCGTTGGAGGCTGTGGCGTGCAGAGTTCTTTGAGCTCTCGTTCTGCCTGCTACGAGTGAATCTGAACTGGACGTGGGAAGGCGATCGGAGGCCCTCGCCAGAAACCGTGGAGTTGATCGTCATTCAGGCGTGGAGAACTAACGTGGTGGGAGACCTACTGGGATTCGTCTTTGGAGCAGTGGATCGGGGATACCGATCACAGATCGCGCGCGAACTTACGATCGTGATCGCGCGACAAGCCGACGAGCTCCCCCTCGATATCGTCTCTCAGAGCGACGAAGAGCCGCTGCCGAATGTCCTTTCAAGGACTCTCGCCCCGAGCCTCCAGTGGTCGGCTTGTATCGAGGAGCGCTGGGCGGACGACCGTTTCCCATCTCGCAGCGAGTACCTGGACGTCCACAGCCTAACTAACCCCCGCTTCTTTCGGCAACCAACGGCGTTGGAGTGGGCAGCGCTGAAAGCAGAGGAAGAAGCAGAAGAAGAATCGGAAGGAGAATTAAGGAGAGAGGCCAGGGAAGCAACAGCCCGGTTGGCCGAGGACGAGGAAGAAGAACGCGAAGCAGAAGCAGAAGCGGCGGAAGTCGAGGACGACGAAGAAGAAGAAGCAGAGGGGGAGACTTCGGAAGAAGAAGAGGAAGCCTATAGCGAGCACAATGAGAGGGAGCAAAGTGAAGAGGAGGAGGAGGACGACGACGACGAGGGAGTGGAAAGCGGAGAAGACGATCGGGAGCCAGCGCACGACGATGAACTCGAGTGGGTGCCAAAACCAGATCGTCGAGAAGAGAATCCTGAGGCCGCTGCGCAGCACAAGGAGGGCGCGGAGGGAAAACGGCGAGTGATCGACCCCACACCGAACGATCCTTCCAAGGATCCCGAGCCGCCCAAGCCGGAACATGGGGACCTTGCTGCCACGACCTCGAGCGCCGCGACAACAAGGCGGCGACCCCGATCCCGATCCTCATCCCCCTCCGCCTCCACCCGTCCCCCAATTCGTCAACGTGTCGATGAGGGGCTTCGCCCTTCGTCCCCGATCCATATACCACTGTCCCCTTAGCCATCTCTCTTTCAATCACTATCTTCATCGCGTCGTTTTCCCCCGTAATCCCTTCCCCATTGCCACCTTTCGACATTTCTACTCCGCCCCCCTACAGCTGACTGTCCATCCCCACCCTTCTGCTCGGTGCGCCGTCCCCGATTACCCCCTCCGCGTTCTACTCCTTAGCGCCGCGTGGCGAGGCCGTAACCACATAGAGGTTTACTGCATCGTCACGAGGACATTCCCCGCGTGCAAAGACCATGATCGGTTCCTCACGGACGTCCTTCGAACCCTCATCGCCCTTTACCCAGACTACCTCACTTCCCTTCCCCGCAGCGGACAGCGATTCCCCCGCTTCCATCGCATCGTCCGCTTTCAAGATCTTCCCTACGACCTCACCGCGATCGGGCGCTTCATACCCGAACTTACAATGGAGCTGGCTCGCCCTCCCTCATACGCGTATCGCCTTCCTTTCCCCTTCCCGATTAATTACTGATGCCGCGGTAATGGACGCGTGTCGCGGCGACGGCACGAGAAAGATCCCGTCCTTGGAATCGTCGAAAGCCCAATCTGAGGAATTAGTTGAAGAGCAATGTTGCCACGATGGACGACGTCCACACGCAATTGAACAGTAAGTGGCATAGAGAGAAGTGCTCCGCGTGTCGATCTATTAGAGAAATCGACACGTGTCAACAAGCAAGCAGGAGCTTGCTAATATTGGAACCCCCTGGGCGTCACATATGTGACGAACCACTTTCTGTAACACGCGATTTTTTGCGCGGTTGCAACGAGGGGTCCTAAGCTGGGAAGGTTGGGCCAATTACGGGAGATCCGGATCGGTGGGAAATTGCATCAGTGTCCTTGCTTTTT